CTGCTGCTGGAGTTGGCAATGAATCTGTTTCAGTTTAACTCTGTAGTAAACTCTCCTCTCAAGCCTGACTTTGTTTGGAGGAGTGAAGTGTGGATTTTAGTTGGTGCTGTGCATGACAATAGCCTGCCTCTAATATCCTTGTGTTCCCACGCAAAAGCTTTGTGAAGCAGAAAATATTGATAAGGACTTTCCTAGTCTTAAAAATTTAACCCCCATTAGCTGCATTGCTGTGCATTTCTAGGCCTTTTAGTTCCATTTATGAGAATATGGTGGTGTGCTACATTTTGGCTCCTGCCCTGTCGTGTCTGGATTTCTGGACACTTACGCACTTGATTATAGAGGTTATAATTATTAACCAGTAGATTCGTGAGGCAGTTTGAGTTTATACTCACAAAAAGGGCTGTTGGCTTCAGTGTGACAGCAGATAAATAGAAGTTCACTGTGAAATCACACTTCGAGGCAACTGCTTACATTTGAAGTAGTGCAAAATCTAAAATCTCTGAAAACGAGGTGGTTTTGGAAGCTTCAAAAAACCAAAGGCCTTTCCCTTTGTTCTGAGATCAACTGTATTTATGCAGATGGCTATCTGCAACATTTACCAGCTGACAATTCTGACATTAATCCTTCTGTATCATTTTCAGGAAGGAAAAAAAAAAATGACTGAAGAGGGTAAACCTTTAAATTTTGTCTTAGTCCTGAAACTGTTTCCAAGTAGCTTTTGAATGTCTGAGGTTTCAGTCTTGTGAGTACCCCTGTGAAAAATCAAGAGCACAGCATCATTGTTCTTATGTGCATAAAAAAAATAAAATATGGCTTTAGTGTTAGCAAGGTTGGGGTGCCCGCGCTCTTGTGGTTAGATGAATAAGGTGTATAGCAGCTGGTAGGCACTTGTTGAAGTCCACACACTTGCAGCCACAGTGAGGATTCTGCTTTGCAGTAAGAAGCATCCTCTGTGGCAAGAAAGATCAGCTTCCCAGGAATAATATATTCTCTGCTATGTTTTTAGGTATTTTTTTTTTGAGGGACAAAAATAGAGAAATGGGAAGAAGCTGAAATAGTGGAAAAAAAGAGGTCAGGGTGTGGATGTGAATATTGAGGAATTATAGTTAATTTTTCAGGGTATCATAAAAGAAAGGATAACAAGATTTGAGCATCATGGTATTTCAAGAAGGTAGCCATGAATGTTTGGTAGAAGAAATAAGAGAAAGTTGGGATGGGGGGATTATTTGCTTGTTTTTTCCCCTTCCTTCTCTCTGAGCAGTCTTGAAGTGGTCAGAATAAAGCAGTTTGTTTCCTCCCTAGATTTTTTTTTTTGTAGTAAAACCCATTGCTGGAGATTTTATTTTAATCCTGTAAATCCGGGTTTAAATAAGTCAATCTAAAGCTCTTACTGCTCAAGTAGGGAGTCTACCAAGCTCAGCAATCTTGTGTCATCTCTGTACATAGGGTCATCAGTATGCACTGATGCAGTTCTTAGTTTGGTTGGCCAAATCTGGACTAGAGGAAGGATTATTATTTTGAAGTCAAAGTACAAGACAGTATTGTGTATTCATTGTTAGATGTTAGCTATAGAGATTGGTACTCTTTCCACTTCAAAGAACAAAGTTGGTCTTTTCCCTTCTGTTCAGATTCAGTTTATCTTTGGAATGAAATAGTTGAAATTTGGAAACGAGGGTTGGCAGGAGGGATTTGGGTTTGGCTTGTAGGGTGTTAGTTTACACAGGTGTATCCTGCTGATAGATAGCAATGTCTAACTGCTAGCTAGCTTCAGTCTACAGATTATCTGCTCTGTGATTTGGGAGCTTAATTTTTTTTTTTATCACCTTATAGTTTAATGGCCTTTGATTTGCTCATAGCAGACATACACAAATTAGAAATTACTTTTGTTTCTGAATTGTGTTTTAAAAAGACTGGTCGGGGTTTCGTATTGTAATTAACATTGATTGTAGTGGCTAAAGGAGGAATAAGTGCTGAAATGAGCTTCATTAGGGTGTTTCAGACTGCTTTTACGTGAGGATAAAACTGGGAATAAGAAGTTAGCTATACGTTTGTTTAAAATTTTAAAAGCCCTGGATATTAAAAAAAGAGGTGGGGGTAGAAAGGAAATAACTTGAACTTATCCAAAATCATTTCAGTTCCTCTGTGCTTGTGAATAGTGTTTTGTATCATGTATCAATTTTATTCAGTGTCACCAGCTTGTAAAAGCTGGAGAAGATGATGAAGACGGGAGGCTGCTGACAGACCGTCTTTGTGCCGCATCCTTTGCCAGTGCAGAAGCGAAGGGCTCCAGAGCTAGCCTGCATGGATTTTTCAGTTGCAGGTGGTGTTTGTGGGCTGAGCTCCTTCCTGCAGGCCGTGGGCTGAGCTCTGTAGGGTTGTAGCCTGCATTGTTCCTTGTGTCCATCTCTTTCTTAAAGAAACAACCTGCGAGGAAGGAGTTTGGGGAAAACTCAGCTGACAGAGCAAACTATTGGGGTTTGGTGTCTTTTTCCCCAGAAATGATATAAGAACAGTGCCACCTTCTGCTGCCTGCCACCCCCCCAGCTCTTCCAGCAGCAGCACTCACCAGATCCCTGTGAAACAAGCTTAGAAATTATAAGCTGTTCGTATTGGCTTAGTTGCAAAGATTACGGAAAGGGTTCTCATTAGTGAAACCATTTTTTCTAAATCTTGCCATGCTCTGCAGTATATTAAGACCTGATCTCTCCTGGACCTTATTACAAGTTGTGCTGCGATCAGGTTTAAATCATTCATTTGCTGCTAATTCCTAGGGGGTGCCAGGGCATTCCTTATAAATTAAGAAGCTTTCTAGCCTGGTCGGGAGGCTGATACCATTGTTAACAAGCTGCTGGGAAAGAGATGTTCTGATATGATAATAAGAGTGTGCAAAACTAATTTGGATACAGATTTCTTTTTCCCTGCAACATATTCTGAGCCCTGTTGTTAGCAACTCTATTATTAGTCCTGTCATCAGATCAGCCATAGAGTTTCCAAAGCTTTGCTGTGGAGTAGAGAAGTAATTGCTTTTGCATAGCTAATGGGAAGTATGGTGGAGGTTCAGCTTTTAAATTAAATAAATAAATAAAAAATGAATATTTGAACTAACTTACCATACACCTTTCTTCCTCTTTACATCTTTGAATGCTTATCTTGGGGAGTTATGTTACAGCAGTTTGGTAGGAAGAAGCAGTTTCTAAATACAAATTTGAAAACTCTTCTAAATGTCTGTGGTGCAGTTTTCTGTAGTGTTTTTTGGAGACTGAAACATTTTTCGATCAACAGGCGGATTTGTCATCAGCTTTTTTCTTTACATGAAAAGTAGGTTTCCTATGCTCTCAGCTACAGTATCTGGTTTGCCAACTTTGCCTGTTTGTAAGAGATCAAAAATGGTTAAAGAGCATCTAAACTTGCTTTAAGTTTTAAATATGCTTTGGTGATGTCATGTCAACTGTATTTTTTAAGTCTTTATCAGAAAAATTAGTCTTTAAGAAATATTAATGCCTCAAGGAAAATGATTGTGCAGTCATATCTAAGCTCTTATTTCTTACCATAAAAACATAATAGTGGTAATAGAGTGGACCTTTATAGTTGAAACTACTTTGTAATGGCACTTTGTTACTGCCTTTTAAGTGGTCATAGATGGGATTTAGTGTTTGCTGTGGTTGCAGGGAATAATTATAGTGGATTTAATGTGCAGTAAATAATAGAAGCATTTTTCATTTATTATTCTGTCACTCACTTTATTACTGGCATCTGCTTACTTGTTGTCAATGCATTGACAGCGTGCCTGTCATAAGGATTTCAGTCATGACCTCATAGCTTTATCCTTTCATTCTGGGAAAGGCCTCTGAAAAGTGATGTTTGGAGCGGTAACAATCTACTCCTTCCCAAATTGCTTCAAGGTACTGTCTCCACCTCATCGTGCACCTTAAGTGCATCCTCCTGAGACTAGTTTGGGTTTCCTTCAGATCTAGTCAGTCATGTGTGATAACCTCAGGCTCGTGTTAAACAATTACTCAGTGGACCAGCAACGATCTGTTTTCTGATGGAGCCAGGCTGTAAATGAAGCTCAAACATGGGACTGATAAGTTTGGCGATGCTGGAGGAGGGATTTGCTGAGCTGGTGTTACTTGTTTGAATGATTCTGGGTGCTGCGCTGTGAGTTTTACCTTTCCTTTCTGCTCAGGGTGCACGCATGGGTAGGTCTTGATGACTGATCAAATCGGGAGCCTTCTACGGTATGGCTGCTTCAAGGGTGTTTGAGTTTTCCAGCCTGAAACATGCCAGGGTTTCTGTGATGTGAACCACACACAGCAACACCAAGGGGCAGGTGCCACAATTGCTCCTCAACCTGTCTCTGTTAGTATGCAACTAAACCATTTTGAAAAAAAAACAGGCTTCCTATGTAGCATGATGGTTTTTGTTTGCAACAAAAGTGTGTTAAATTTAGATTTATTTACATTTCCTCCTCATTCTGGGGTTGTACTTTCTTTTCTTCCTTTCAGCCGCAATGACAGGTTGAGGAAGAGTGTCTTGGATGAGGTAAGAACTTAGAAACAAGGCACCTCTCAGCAGGTTTATTCCCTGCCATCCTCTGCTCACCAAGGCTGAAAGCACCAGTAACTTTAGAGCTGGCTCCCACGTGTCCGCCCAGTGCTTATGGCAGGGTCACAATCTCCAGAAATACGACTGGGAGATGATATGTTAGCTCTAAACATTTGCATTGTTAATACAGCTTTAGCAGTGAAGCCTTTTTGCTGGGTGACTTGTTTAATAGTATATTTTGATTATTTCATTGATTTTGGGGAGTGTGTTCATTGATTTTTGGATGTTCTGATCAGACCACCTCTTAGTGTGATTTTTATCTTCTGATTCCAGGTAATCGAAGACATTGAGTACCTGAAGTTTGACAAGGGGCCGTGGCTGGAGCAGGATGATGTTTCTTTCCATCATTTGAGACTTTAGTAAGTATGATGTCCTCCAGTAACTGAATGTTACTTAGCATCAGATCTCAGGGAAAATGGTTAAAGCCTTAAGTTTTAAAGTGCACTCTGACTTTTTTTTGTCAGAAGTCAGTAGCAGGCTTTTGTAATATTGGTGCTTGGCACTGTAATATGATGTGGCATTTTGCTGCTGCTGCTAATTGATTAGACAAGAGACTCCAGACGAATAGATCCCATTCCATTAATGAAGCACAAGAACTCTCCAGGCATTCCCTAAGTGCTGTGACCTGTGGCCCTTATTTTTGGGAATGTATTTTTGTGAGCACTTCTGTTCCTGGGTGATCACAGAAAAACATTTCATTTTAAAATAGAGCATTTATGCAGTTGGTGTGGTGGTTCTGCTGCTGCCCTGGCAGCACGACATCCTTCAGCAAAGCTTGTTGACAGAGTGACCTTGTAGCAAGTTTTGTAAGTGGTGCTGTTTAGATTGGCTGTGTTTAGAGTGTTTTTTTCTAAGACTAGTCTAATTTCTTATGCTGTCTGGTTTTTAAATCTTTCCAGCAATCAAGAAGCTGGCTGAACAGCGGGGGGGTGGGTGGTGGGGAAGAAAACAGGCAAACTTGGGTGGCTGCTCAGTAAGTCCTTTTTTCTTCATTTCCCCAGACTCCCAGTAAATAATCCTAAATAGAAACTTCAATGCCAATTCACAGAATGAAGTATTGCAGTTTTGTTGTTCATTCTCTATAATAAAGGGAATTGTAAAGTATAACAATGTAAGGGTGGTGTTTGTTGTTGTTAAAGATCCTTGTCTATCTAGTTGGATATGAAGAGATCAAACTCAGATAGTGGAAAGTGCCTTGCTGGAATAGAATCAAATTTTATTATAATATTTCTTTGCAAGTACTCCATGATTATCTGTCCTGCAGTTCAGCTGTGGAGTGCTACTGGTGGGGCTGCATGTGTCCCCAGACCAATGCTGAAAAGAGAGGTAGCCCTCCAAACTCCAAAAGATGTGAACCAAACCATTGACATGTATGTAAAGTGAGACCAGACCGACACTTTTATACATGTTACAGATGAAGCATCAGGAGTGCCACTCTGAAGTTATGTTGATGAACAAAATAGTGTCTGGATAACCCCATAGAAAGAATATATCTACACGTGTAAAACTATTAATAGGGATAACCTTGCACCGAAGTGAGACAAGCTTCCCACTTTGCTAGAACTTCATCTTTAGACTGAATGTGCAGGTAGTAAGTGCAGTATAGTTACTGCATTTTTAAAGCAAAATTTAAGAATTATATTCTTGTCATATGAATTTCAGATTATCTCACAGGTTAATAGAAACACAGGGTTTTTTTTAAATTGAATATTTGCCTTTGAATTTTTGTTTTTATTGTGACAGGCATTGGAGTAATAAGTTAAGCTGGTTTTTTTGCAGGCTTCTGGTATTCTTTGCCTTTTAGTTTTCTGTGCTGTTGCTTCAAATGCCTCCTAAAATTAGAGATAATGTTCCTTTTCTGTGCCCCTTCTATCAAGAAGTGAAGATAGATCACAGAAGAGCAGTGTTGTGTGGAGTCTATGAAACAAGTCATTATTTGGGTGCCCTTTAAGTATCTAAGAAGAGGTGTCTTCATGTAATAATGAAAAGATAGCATCTGGCGACTTAAACCCTGCAAAACTATCAATCAGATTTCCTTGAAAGAGAAAATACAGTTAAGTTGCTTGTTTTCCCATAGCTTCACACTAGTACAGGTATTAAGAAAGTATTATTAATTGCAGAGTGTAGGAGGGAGTTAAAGGAAAGCATACACTTAAAGAGCAGTGTATTAAGATACTGTATGAAAATTGTACTTTGTAGCTGAAGAAGGGAATAAATTGCATCGTTAAGGACTCAATTTTTCATTGAACCCTGGGGGAGGGTGAGAGGGTCTCCTGTATGAGGTTCTTGTCATTGTAATTAATACAAAATTATTTCTTCTGTTGGCAGTGTGTGGTTGCTTTAAGATCTTACAATGCAACAAACTGCTAATTTAAATGTTCTTATGGTTTACGTTTTGCTGTTTCTCCTTGCCTTCAGAATAGCATTGTCAAGATAGCGTTTATATTCAGACAGATGATGAGTGTGCTCGGTGTTTGCTTTGAGTCTTTGTTTGGTGCGGGGGTTTTACGGCATTGATCAAATGTGGAATGACAGATCCTGTGCCACTTCTGCACTCATGCCTTGCTCAGCTGAATGAGGAGATTGTGGGCAATATGTTGGGCAGACTGGGAAGAGCACCTTGTTATAAGAATGTATAGGTTTGGACATAATCTTTTCTCTTGTTAACTCCAGAAGTGCAGGACAGAAATGAGTCTCCTGTCACAGCCTGCACAAACTTCACTCATGAAAACATGTCAGGCCCAGTGCCAGACTGGGAATAGATGTGTAAGGACCGAACAAACACTGCAGGGAGTCTGTTGCATGTTTTCGGTGCTGGAATTGCATCCTGGAGCATCAAATGACAATTTCAGGTGCTAGTTCATGTACGTTAAAGCTGATGTTTTCCTCAGTTTTTCTAATGCCCAAGTAGGAAAGCTCTTGTGGTACCCAGCCTTCTGCAGATTTGCAGGTGTCCCATGCCTACATTAATTTTACCTCTGGGAAAGTTTTTTTTAGCACTTTCCTGGTGGGCTGCCTGGTCCATATGCTGGCAACACACTGCCCTCTCGTGGGTGTTTCTGGAAGGCTGCAGCAGGTATTTGTCTGTTTTTTCATATGCAACTGCTTCCTTCGCTGACCTGCCAGCATTTTGCACAGCCCACTCATTCTGACTTGGGCTATTTCAGATCTGATGCTGCCTGGGAGTCATAGGGGCAGTGTAGCGGGAAGCGGGGCATTGCAGTCATAATCCTGCTCTAGTGCTGGCTTGGCTTTTGGCAGTTTCACTTCTTCCACCTTCAGCTTGTACCAGCATGTCTGGGGGAAGGAGATCGATGGGCAGGGCTGAGGATAACTTTTTCATTGCATGTACATAGGGTCTAATGCACAGAAACCCCAGCAGGGCCTCTGACTACTTTGGACATGCAAGCGAGCTAGCTAATCAAAACAGTGAGCTGCAGCCATATAAAATTAGTTGCATAATGATATCTTTTATCTCCCCACCTTGCCCTCGAGTACTCTCTCCCTTGCCCTAATAGGGAGTAGTGTGGTTGTGGGACTGAGGCATGTCTTGGTAAAAGGTTAAGAACGTACATATTTGTATGTATGTAAGCTGGAGGGATCTCCCAGAGGATGCTCTTCACATCTTTCCTTCCTATCCAAGCACTGTGTCCAACAGAAATCACTCTGCTGGTTTTTTGTTTGTTTTTTTTTTTAAATGTCTTAAGAAGTTCCTCTGCCACTGCACTCTCTCAGGTGTGTTTTTATCTGTGCCCTTTGCCGTGAAATGGTGTGACTGTCTACATGCATTGCAAAATAAATAATGTTTTGGAATGAAGAGCTCTCATTTGTGTAACATCCCCTGTGTTACTTTACCAGTTGTTGTGGTGAGCTTACTGCATTTGACTTGTTTCATCAGACAATTCCACAGTTAAATCCCTGGAGCTCCTTCAGAATTTGCTATAGCAGAACATAATTTGTATGGGCAAATTTTTGGCTTTTTTTAAGCCACCACTAATTTAATTTAAAAAAAGAGATAGGTATTGGTATTTGTTTTATCTTGATGAAAAGGGGATCTCTTTCCACTTGGAAACAATCTAGCCATGAAATAGTTTGCCAGTCTCGTCTGTTGAATTTTGTTCATTAATAACTACTAGCGTGCCACAAACCCTGTGTAGTAAGTCCTCCAGTATTGTGTTTGGCAGGACATCAGACATATATTTTGAGGTTGTTACTGAAGGACCTTGTATGTGCAGTAACTAGTATTTTCTAAGTTCTCTTAACATTTGTTTAGCTTCTTGGAGCTATTGCTAACCCCAGAGCTTGGCTCTTATTTCCTTTCTGTTCATTTTGGTTAAATGAAACATTGCAACGAGGAAGCATGGGAGTGAATGAGGGAGAGCAACTCTTCAGACCTGTTTCACAGTGTAATCGAGTGTGCTTAGCAAAGGGAAGAGGTGTCCATGTTTGAATGTCTGTTTTGTCTGATTTCAAATAGCAGGACTAGAAGTGCTTGCAAGAAGTGTATTGGACTTGTTTTTGAAACTTTTTGTTGTGGACACTCCAAAAATCTCAAACTATTCATTGTAAAACTTCTGGCACTATTAAAAACTGCTTCCTTTGGCACCTTACTTCTCTCTTGCTTCAATTGAAACAGTTCTTTGTAATTTCCTCTTTGCAGTGGCTTTTTATAGATTTGAAGAGCTGTTGTTGCACCTTCTCACCTTCTCTTGCAGATGTGCTTTTCATGGAAAGCTCTTTTTCTTTCTTGGTGTTCATCGTAAGTGTTTGTTTTTCACCAAGGGAGCGGCCATGGTTCACTTGGGCATGGCATACTTGTGCTGCCTAACCAAACAGTGGAGTCTGAGTCCCTTTGGCAGAAGGAGGTCTGTATGTCATTGCCCTGCCTTTGCTAAGTTCTGGAAAATATGGACAAGGAAGAAATGACAGGCAAGGAAAGACACATGGAGGACACACAGCCCACAGCTGTCCTGTGTTC